TTAAAAGCTCTGTGCACGTTGTGACTGACTGTTGTCTAAAATAGCTTCAAAAACTCATTAATAGTTCATGAGGAAAACACAAAGAAAAATCATAAACGTGTCGTATCCTTGATATGTGATAGAGATTCCCTTGTCCTTGATTTACATAAATTTTAATGATTTTCTCTACATATACACACCGAATTTTTTGAAAGCTACTTCGCCAATGAACGTATACCAGATCGATCGTTTTTGAAGCAATTTAAAACATTTGCAGTGCGTGTTTAATCAGACCATCTTTTAATATATCTGATAAAACACTCCTGCTCGTGTTTTAAATAGTGCATAAAATCTCTGCCAAGTCTCCGTAGTGGCCGAGCAAAAAGCATGCATGATGCTAAATATAAATCTCGACTATGATTGGATAATGGGGTGAAGGTGCTAATTACAAAACGTCAATCATCCTTAATGGGCGAAAACAAATTTGTCATTGCCATTTGGACAGGCGTTCCCTCAGTTCCCGCCCGTCAGCTAAACGCCTGCTACGCAGGCTACTACAAAGCTAACAGGCAATATTGGCATTTCCGGTAGTTGTAATGTATTTTGCACTGTAATTTTCCCATTTTAAGAAGCAAATGCTATAACATATGACTAAACAAGACTATTCTTCGTCACCGACCAGGCAAATTTATATGAAATTACTGGTATGGGCAGTGCATGTGTCGAAAGTTCGCAGTTCTCTATCTTGTGCAAAAGTTGATATACATGTATGTGTTATTGTTACTCTGGAGTTGAACAACTTCACTGTATGCTAGTCACACCATAGAAGTCGAAATTATATTATATAGATATCCATTATCCCCAACCAACAGGCTTTTTCTGAATTAAGGTCGAACCCCACAGGCAATAGCCTATGACGCACGACGTTTTCACGAGGTCTCGTCTTGGCGTCATTATTCTTGACAACTAAGGGACCGGTCATTATTTAAGTTGGGGAGGGGGGAGAGAAAATAGGGGGTTTGGAAAACATGACTTCAAGGAAAGGGGGGGGGGGGTGAAATATATGTATCAATATATGTACCCCCCCCCCCCCCCCCAACTTAAATAATGACCGGTCCCCAATGTAGAGCGCATTTCGGAATTGGACTATTGTGACAAGTAATTGTAATAAGTAACTGTGACTGCATTTTATAGAAATGTACCATTCCGAGTACGAGTGCGGTTGGCACGCCGTAGAAACGAGGACGAAGATTCCCCACACAAGTTCTATACATTGGTAACACACGTTCCAGTAGCTTCTTTCAAAGGTAAAAACTATTTAAATTAATTTATTTTTATTTAATGAAAATTTATAAACAGTGATAACAAAAATGTTCTTTCAAACGTCGGTCAGACTATAACGCTGAAATAGCTGGTGGAACTTGTCGTTTGTTGGTAGTAATTTTTAACTTTGTTCATATTTTTGTGCACAGTTATGTCCTTCATTTATTATATCATGTCCCCATCAACCTCCGGCGAAACTAGCTGTTGGGGTATTAAAAATATAACTACCGATAATATCACAGGGGGCAGAAAAGTACGATTGTGTTTATTTAAAATACCTTGTCATAAAACCTATATATCGCATAGTTTCATCCAGGTTTCATCACGTTGAAAATTATGTTGATTTTTAAAAAAAATTTCGATAATATCATGCCTACTACTTCATGTAATTCAAACATTGTATGTGTGATACACATAGTAGCGTGGGCTCGTAGCCATAGTAACGTGGGCTCATACTAGAATGATTGGCTTTGTTTACACGTACAAATACCCTCGGCATCCTTTCGTAAGATGTTCGGAAATTGTCGTTGCAATGCAATGATGTTTGAACTACATGAAGTAGAAGGCATGATATTCGATCCTTTTGTGACTTTGTCTGCGGATTGTTGTGATATAAATATGCGATATTAGTTGATGACAAGGTATTTATAAAACACAATTGTACTTCTCTGCCCCCTGTGTAATATCGATAAATTATATTTTACTTTTAACTCCAAAAAGACGCAAAATATTTAACCTAATTTTTCCCAGTCCAAAGCCGGTTACAGACGAGCAAGTTTTCTATGACAAGTTTTTATATTACAAGTTTTATTTGCTCGTCTGTACGCGCAACTTTGACAATTTTTTCTATGACACACTCACTTGTTCAAAAGCTAGCATGCTATTTTTTTCAAAGTACAAATTTTGTTCGTCTTTATGGGTCAACAAAGTAAGTTGTCAAAGTAATCTGAGCATTTGATGTGATTGGCCAGCGAACTATTATAATTTTTCTGTCATGGCGGCGATAAACACCTTTTTCTGACACGTTCACACCAGTAAATATAACTTGTCATATGAAAACTTGTCATATAAAATTTGTTGCATATACACACGTGCACTTGGCAAATAAAACTTGTCACATAAAAACTTGTCATAGAAAACGTGGTCGTCTGTATCCGGTTTAATTGCACAGTGCCTTGACATTTCAAAACAGTAACACAAAGGGGTGCAGCTTTATGCGTGCGCTGGGGACATTACACAGGTCACGTTGAAAACGAAATAGTTTTGAGGGCCAAAATTCGTAACAGTTCGACTTTAGTTATAGTCGAACTGGGAAAATTTAGCTACCTTTTTAAAGGCTTTAATGCAAATGCCCATGCTCAATACCGGCCAGATTCGTATTGTCGGGATATCGATACTTCAAAATGCATTATCGAATAAACCCACATAATGTGTTGACTTATCACTCTCGAAATCCATTTTTTTATTTGGAACGCCAATTCAAAACAAAAAATAAAACAGATACAACATGAGATACTAATGAAATTATCAGCAAGACTCTGTTGCCGTTCCAAGATTTATATGCTCCTTTCAAATTACAATTATATATACACAAAGAAATTATTTATATTTGTTAGCATTATTATTATTAGTAAAATATATTTTGTGTTCTGTGACTAATTGTTTTCTAATTTTTGAGAAGATTTGAAAGGGAGCTGGCTCCCTGAAATAACCACAGGGCTATATAAATATCAGGGAACCAAACAAAGGACGAAAAATTTATGAAAATTGACAATATAGTTCTATATCAAATAAATTTTAAAAGATCGAGAAAGGAGTCCTGACGGGAGATAACGTATAGAAAAAGTTGGAAATCAATATAGTTGGAAAGTTGGAAATCAAAAAAATTGGAAATCATGTATCAGAGAGCGACTGTTGACCACTTGGTCAACAGGCGACTGTTGACCACTTGGTCAACAGTCGCTCTCTGATCCATGACCAAGCTCAATGAACACACTGCACACATACCCCTTCCCTACCAGATTTGATATAGGATCAACCCAGTCCATATAGCTTGCTATAGCATGCGATTCTTTTGGTTCTTCGGTTTAGCTTAATTGATTGTCCTTAATTCCATTAATGTTTTGACATGATTGTACTGTATATTCAATTTTATTTATTATTTCATTTTAGGCTTAGAAACCAAGATTGTAGAAGCTGATGACTAAGTTAACGTGAAATTGTGTAATAAAGTGTTCAATAATATTAATTTGTTGTTGTATCTTGTCTCTATTTCTGTATATTATACACGTCAGTCTCCACCCTTTTAGTACAAAGTAATTTACATTATAGCGACGTAGGCAAAGGTTCTAACGAGAATGTCGTGTATAGATATACTATATAGTTTAAACAAAGTGGGGGTTACCGTAATGGGTATCCATTACTTTGTTTAATAAAAAATGTCAGTGTTTATTACTCCTCCGGTCGCTGGTGCGTTGGAGGTTTAAAATGGCCATTTTCAGTTTTAGTTTTAGTCGTCATATTTCCACAGAATACCCTACCATCATCTACATCTACGGATATTACGACTTTGAGGGTACTTTATAGTGCATTGTGAAAGTTCCCCTTTGGCTTTGCAACTACTGTCAAGCTATTAAAAAGATAAAATTCAAGCGAGACGGCACAAAATAGACAACGTAAACAACCTATAGCGATAGAGGGAGCTTGCAATTGCATTATGTTACGTTGAACTGTTTAAAAAGAAAAAGGCTGAAAATTACGTAATGGCATGCAATGCGTCCTGCAGACTGGCTTTAAATTAAATATAATTTTAAGTGTAAGATTTTTTCCAATGAAACAGATAATAAGTACATTAGAACTTTGAAAGAATATACATGATTTTCAAAACGAATCATCCGATTTATCTACATGAAATGTGTATAGACTAGTATAGGCATGCGTGGAATATCTAAGCTGAAGAATATATGAAAGTAATTACCAATGGGCAATGGTATAAACAACGCTGCCTAATGTTTAACAACTCTGAGGGAAAACCACTGCCTAGCGCAAGCAAAATGGCAAAATACTTTCCGTTCAAAATTTAGATTTTACGCGAAATTGATTAAAACTTTCGGTCGAAATAAATCATGAAATACAACTAATTGTGCTATAAATTTCATCCTCCTTTCGCCTTGAGTTATTTTTGCCAAAACGGGGGACAACAGAAGTGAAAAAATCGTAATAACCTTTAGTCCATAGAAAGGCTTTGCAATATTTATTTTAAATCATTTTAATGCATCCATGTGCAAATTCTTTGTAGGTGATCAGAAATTTACAAAACTTTATTTGCAGAAATTATACAAAAAGTTCGGAAAACTAAGGTCAAATTGCGAAAATTACAAACCTATATATATATATATATATATATACCACAAATAATGCTGGGTTTGGTGGATAATCCAAACCAGGAACGGTTATGAAAAATGCAACACTATACCACAGAATACTACACAGAAGTCCATCTCCATTGTTTTTAGCGTAAGCTCTATTCGTCATGATTCGTCACTCAGCAAGTACCGTAAACAGAAGCAGTCCCCCTCCTGGAAATACTAAAAATGGCGTATGTCCAGGGGGTGACTGCTTCTGTTTACGGTACTTGCTGAGTGACGAATCATGACGAATAGAGCTTACGCTAAAAACAATGGAGATGGACTTCTGTGTAGTATTCTGTGACTATACTCTATAGTATATCTAGGTCCTCTGGCAGGAATCAGACGTGCGGCCCTACGAGTATGACCCTACGCAAACTGGGTACATCGCTACGTTTCTTACACGAAAATCCTATTCAAACCTCCTTCAAATCTCTAGTCGCAATGTTTCGTGACCATAAGCCCCGATGACCGCTCATAAGTAGCCAGCCACAGAGTACAGACAATGACGAATAATGATGAGCGTCACATTTCGAGTTACTATAGAATTTTATCAAGTGAATATAGTCTATAGACGCAACTCGTGTAGCGGTCAAAAGCCAATGCAACTATGGAAACGCAAGCAACATAAGATGGCAAATGAAGAAAAGGATGAATAACAAATCCATTGACACATGCATGGTCTCCAATAACGAGAAAGAATCCCCGGGAAACATGATGATATCGGCAATTATCATTATTTGCTCCAACGAGGAGTAAAATATTTGAAAATATTCTAGTAAATATGATTTCGAAGCGAGGAATGATATACAAACTTGGAAGAGAAATCCAACGAGAAAAAACAAATGGATAAATTAAAAGTCTCGTTCATTTCATTTCGTAGTTTGTAATCCGCTTTTCAGGACGCCTTTAAAGCAGGCCGGGGCGGCGCTAAAGGTGTGTGTTGGGGGGGGGGACACCCCCAGTTGGCAAATTGTTTTCGTAGACGTCGGCAAAACATGAATTTGGATCGGAAGAAAAAAATTAAACTATTTGAGTGACACTGATTAAAAATTAATAATGATCGGCTAAAATGTGGAGAAATTTATGGGAGGGAAAAGAAAGAACAATAAGTAAGAGTTAATTACCGAGAAGGAGGGCTTTATGCTATATACAGCCCCGAGAACGCGAAGCGTTCGAGGACTTTATATAGCATAAAGCCCGACATTCTCGGTAATTAACTGACTTATTTCATGATTGAAGAGGTTTTCTAACAAAGTTTTATTCTTTTTTTTCGATTTCGACAAGTATTTTTCTAGTTTTCTCCCTTATTTCTTGACTAATTAGGGCTTTATGGTATTCAAGGGCATTATGCTATATACAGCCCGCGGTACATCAAAGAAAACCGAGTCAATCATGAAATAACGGTAGTTATTAATTTTGGAAGTGTACTAATCCATCTGTCTTAACGAGAATAGCACATATATTGAGGCCATTGACACATTCTCATTCAGTAATGTCTCTTTAATAGGTCGTCAATAATGTCAACTGATGCACTCTATGGAGCAGATGCATGTGCGAAGTGAGATTACTGTTTAAAAGTTTAATGTGAAAACGAATACATAACTTTAATTAAGCAATAGGAGATGTTGCTGTAATGAAAATACTATTGAAAATTAATAATGATTTTAAAATTACTCCAGCTTGTACGTCATTACTCATTTATAGAGAGCGGCCATAAAGTAACTGCTAGGATGGGCCGGAGGAAATAAGGATGGGCATGAAATTATTTTCATCAGTTTGGGTGGGTCATCAATTTGTTTTTTGTGCAAATGGTCGTGAAATTTTTCCAATGACCTACGATGGGCTTTGAAATTTTTTCTAGGTTCTCAGGATGGGCCACCGTTTTGTTTTTGTTTTTTTTGGAAAACCTATTTTTCCCTCCGGCCCACCCTAGCAGTTAGTTTATGACCGGTCCCTAATTATACAACATGCGAATCGTCAAGTAGCAGAAGGCAATTCATCAGACACCATTTGATTTGTTATTCATCCAATTCTTCATTTGCCACCTTCCAGATCCTCACAAATAATACTGAACACATACAGTTGGCTTTTACTTGGCTGATTTCAGTGCAATTAATCCAATCTGCACAGTAGACCCAAACGATTGCAACTGCAATTTAAAAGGAAGTTTATATTTTAACAACGAAGTGTTACTGACGTCTGAAACATCTGCAGAAAGCCACGCCCAAGAGTTAAACAGGGTTCGTAGCGGTCTTTGAAATCCTTGAAAGTCTTTAAATTTGAATGCAGGTCTTTAAGGTCTTTGAAAAGTCTTTGAATTCTGTGAAAAAGCGAAGAAAGTCTTTAAAAGTCATTAAATTCTTCAGTGAGTATTTGATTATACGATTTCCTAGCTAATAAAATAGATTGATATATTGAGCAAGATTTTCGCAAATATCGACGAAAAGCGCATTTTATGATGTGATTTGACGGGACTAATTACTGGGTAAAAATGGTGCTCACACTCGCAATGTTTCGACACCTGATTGCTCTCAAATGTCTTTGAAAAGTCTTTGAAAATAGGCAGAAAAAAAATATTTGAAAGTCTTTGAATTTTTTTTGGTCTTGGAGGCCACGAACCCTGTTAAAATATGCGCGGCCGGGGCAAAATACGCGCGGCCCGGAGTGCTCAGAGGGGCCCGGAAATCTCGGTAAAATGTTCATATTGTTTATTAAAACATACCAAATGTGAAATAAACGATCGTTTTCTCAACAAAAATAGTTAGCTGAACATCGTTCACATTGCGTTTTTATCAGTTATGCGGCGATTTCTTGCAAGCAATTCGCTGGCAATTCTCTCGTTGATTGCGATTAAAAATAGCCAGCGGGAGTCGAGAGGGACAGGGGGCCCGTATTCACCAATCGTCATTGTCCCGGGGCCCGTGGTTGGCTTTCGCCGGCCTTGAGTTGGATTCCAGATCGGTTGTGGATTCCGGATTCCAGAAAATTGGATACATACGGAGTTAGTAAAATAGTGACGAAAGTCTCTGGCCTGCCGTGCAGCGGGACACCCTAAAATAAAGGCGCGGAAGAGTGTACCGATTCCACGGCTTTCATGCCGAACGCAACGGGGTAAGATGTAGCAAAACAACAGTGAAGTTAGTCTGCTAATCATTATACGTTATTTTACACTCCGGTTAACCCTGAGCCTAAAATATGTAGAGCAATTGTCAATATATTATAGTAGTGTATAATTTAAAACTTGTTTATTTTTATTATACGATGTTTTGACCCCGTTTGGCGGTTAATAGCACTGATTATTACTCCGGGTACTGTAAGTACCGGAGTATTAAAATGGCCAATCTTTTTTCTTAGGCGACGCAAGTGTGCACTTCCACAGGTGCACCGTACGTAACGCACGCAAACGCACTACAAAAATACGAAATATCTAAAAATAGCCGCCATTCGTAGTAGATCGGAGCGAGCGTTGTGTTTACAATGTATTTAGTTCTATTTACAGTAAATATTATCAAATGGAGGGGTTCTCATACACTCGTTTTTATACAGTGACCACAGTTCATATAAATACAAATCGAAATTCG